GCCCTTCTCTGTACCTGTTCCAGTTTGAATTCATCCTTCTTAAACATGGGAGACCAGAACTGCACACAATATTCCAGATGAGGTCTCACCAATGACTTGTATAATGGTACTAACACCTCCTTATCTCTACTGGAAATACCTCGCCTGATGCATCCCAAGACCACATTAGCTTTTTTCACGGCCATATCACATTGGCGGATCATAGTCATCCTGTGATCAACCAATACTCCGAGGTCCTTCTCCTCCTCTGTTACTTCCAACTGATGCGTCCCCAGCTTATAACAAAAAATCTTATTAATCCCTAAATGCATGACCTTGCACTTTTCACTATTAAATTTCATCCTATTACTATTTCTTCAGTTTACAAGGTCATCCAGATCTTCCTGTATGATATCCCGGTCCTTCTCTGTATTGGCAATACCTCCCAGCTTTGTGTCATCCGCAAGCTTTATTAGCACATTCCCACTTTTTGTGCCAAGGTCAGTAATAAAAAGATTAAATAAATTAGTCCCAAAACTGATCCCTGAGGAACTCCACTACTAACCTCCCTCCAGCCTGACAGTTCACCTTTCAGTACAACCCATTGTAGTCTCCCCTTTAACCAGTTCCTTATCCATCTTTCAAGTAAAAAAAAAAGTCCCAATAATAACCAAAGCAATCGTCAGGTGGGACCTGGTGTGCAAATGAGTCCCAGTGGCACTGTGAAGAGTGGCTGGATTTGTGGGTAGTTCAACTCAGGTTCTACTTTAGCTATGAACACCTCGGGAATGGAGGTTGTTCATAACTCTGCTGCTGCCTGATTAGAACCAGAAGTGTGCAAATGAGGGGTGTGGGTGACTGGTTAGTTCATAATTCTGGTGTTTAACTCTGAGGTTTTAATGTACTGTAGAGCTGCTGCTCTAGAGGAGATCTGGGACTGAAATTAAAGCCCAGATTGGAAGTTTAGAACTCTGTTCTAGAGGAAATCCTGCTGGTCTGGTGGAGACTAGGATGCCCTGAATTCACTTCTGCTGACTATTGCAGCTGTAATGGGGAGGTCTGGGACTTTGGTAGATTGTCCTGGATGACCACCTGGTGAAGCTATATGCAGGGGAGAAGCCGTACCTGGTGACCACAGGCAACTCCCATTGGAGCAGAGTAATGAGCAGTAAACTTGCCCATTGCATCCAGTTGGTCCTATATGAAAATATAAATCCATTTTATCTTGCTTATTCAGTACAGTACCATACTTGTTCACTTCTGTAGTTGTGAAGATTAAGACCTGTGGAACTTGCATTTCGCTTATTTCAGTGAATTTAAAATATACTATAACTAAATGTGACAATCACTAGTTGACTATAGAATGCAAAACTTACAGGTGTGACTGCTTGTATTGTAGGTATTTACTACTTGTGCATCTCAAGCTGAGGTAACTAACAGTACAAATACAAATTGAAAGTCCAAACACCTGATTATTCTTTTTTTAGAACTTGAATTTTGTTGTTACATTGAGTTCTTAGTCTGCCTGCATTTCATAAACATATATAAAGACATTTGCTATAAAACTTCTTGAGATATTTTAAAATGTGGTTGTCATTTTCTGGAAGTTATATTTGCTAAACTTTCAAAATACAAAAAATTCTCTATTTAATTCTTTCATCTGGTTTGGGGAAGAGGAAGTAATCAATTCTATATTGCACTGCTCTTTAAAAATGCCACAGTAGTTCCAGTCAGGAACAGTAAATTTTAAGTCTTTCCTTAGGAAAAGGAAATTGGAATTTATAGGAACTTTTTTGGAATAAAAACTATGAGAATTAATCCACAACTTCACCCATCAGAGGATTAATAGATACTGGGCTTCTAGAAAGCAGAGAGAACTTTTTTAAATTATAGTCCAAAAGAGTGTTTTTCATTAAGAATAAAATTCATTAAGATTTAAAGGCCACTGAAACCCATTTACAATCATTTTGAAAAAATGGACTTTACTTCAGTATCTTGTGATGCATATTTATTTTCACAACTGGGTAATATAACAAACATAGAATGCTTTTGCCATTCAAATGGAGGTTAGCACTGATATATGTTGGATTAAATGTATAGCTCAAAACAGTGAAGAAAATGAGTGGTGGTTGCCCTACCATCCGTCCGTGGCCAGTTATTGCAGCATGTAATCAACAGCTATTATCTTGAAGCATAATCTGATGGATAGATTATAATAATTGGAGTCACACTGAGTCTACTTCCCACTCTGGCTTGCTGTATGATGACCAATGGCATCTTCCTCATTGGTAAAATGAGGAATGAATATACTCATGCTGGTATTTGAGATTTCGTTAAAGTGCTTTAAGACCCCAGGACAGAATGCACTATAAAAGTACTATATTAGAGTTTAATTTTATTACATCCTTGCTCAGGTATGGTTTGTCTGACCTTAAACTTAATACCAAAAAGTGCCTGTAAGGGGAAAATGTTTTTTCTTACATTGAGTTGAAAGCAACTACAGGCACTTGTATATTGAGGAACAGCAAGCTAGTCTGGTGATGGAGTGGGGAAATGATTTGCAGCCTCCCAATTTCTTGTTACAAGTTAATATGGGAATTTTGTAGCTACAGAAGTAAAACTAAGGCAGAGCCTTGCATGCTTTTTGTGGTTACCAATATGTTGTCTTAACTTCTGTAATTCAAAATTATGAAAATGCCACACTGGTTTCAACAACATTTACAATATAAACTTCCAATAAGTGTCTACTTCGTGTAGGAGAGTTAGAGCAATGGGCTTCCAGTAATGCAGTTTTACTGTCTTATAGTTCGTGTTTTTGGTATGCTATGTTGCCATGTAAACGTTTGTAAACAATTTTAGAAGCATCTAAAACTCTCTATACAGTTGTGGATTTTAAGGGTGTAGTGTAGAAATTTAGACGTGCTTTTGCAGATTTGTTATGCATCTTGGATTTCATTAAACCTACTGGAGTCGCTGTCTCAGTGAGTGATAGAGCAGGGATCTGCAACCTTTGGCCCATGCTCCCTGGCAGACTGGGCCGGTTTGTTTACCTGCCGCGTCTGCATCTTCTCCCAGTGCTACTGTTCAAATTTATTTCCATTTTGGGAATTAGGACCAACTGCTTATGCCCATCTGTGCAATGAAATACTTAAAAATTAAATTATGATAGGAATAAGGTTCATGAAAGGAGGTCTGGGGTTTATGCTAATCCATGGCAGAATCTTAAAAGCAATCCAGTAAAATTCATTGTCAATATTTGTACAAATGAAGGTACAGCATTGAAGAATTTTGGAAACATTTTTTGCTTTTATGTTTGCTGTTCATGGAGGAATAATGTCATCCGTTTGTATATAAATGCACTGGATCATGGGTTGTATTTTTTTGGCAAGGACATTAACGTGTTGGGAGCTCTTCTATTAAGGCTTTGTTTGAAGACTTGTCTGAGAATCTTAAATTAGAATTGTGAAGAAAAACTAGTAAATGTATTGTATTTGAACTGTTTAGAAAGCTGCACTGCTAAATACTTACTTCAGGCTGTTAATTGTTTTTCCAAATATAAATCCGCTTTCCTCCCAATTCCCTGTTTTCAAGCTGCCTTTGCCAAGCACTGGATTCTAAACCTACATATCTGCCTGGCACACATTTTGTTTGTTTGTTTTTCCTCCCCCCAAACTTGTTCAGGATCATGGTCAACTGAAGTGCTAGTGTGGAAACTGGCTCTAAGTTAACAATGAATGAATTAGTACATCTTGTCTGCCTTTTTTAAAAGTTAAATACATTTAAGTTGCTTTTGGAGAAACAAGTTGAACTAATATTGTAGTGCCTAGAGGGGCCCAATCAGAATCAAAGCTACATTGTGCTGCATGCTGTACATCAAGGTAGTTTCTGCCCCCCAAGAACTTACCATATATTCTCGTTCATAAGCTGAATTTTTTTAGTAAAAAGGGAAGCACCAGAGATGGGGGTCGGCTTATGAACGGGTATAGAGAGGGAGAGGTGGGACACAGCCCTTCCCCCCAACTGAGGGAGCAAGGAGAGGCAGCGGCGAGAGAAGGGAAGAGGCGGGGCCAGAGACTCTCTGCTTCTGGCCACGCTGCTCTCCCCCCAGCCTCCAAAGCAGCTGCAGCTCCGGGGCTGGCAGGCTGCAGCTGTGCCGCTTGGCCCCATCCCCAGAGCAGGCTGTGGCCACGCTGCCCAGGCGCCGGAGCACGTTGCGGCCACGCCGCCCAGTCTGGCCCACCGGAGCAGGCTGCGGCTGTGCTCGTGCTGCCCAGCCTGCTGGAGCAGCTCCAGCCAGGTCAGAGACATCCTCTCCTGGCCCTCCCCAGATAAGAAGGGATGGGGAGAGTGTGGGGGTCATGTGGGGAGTGGTCACAGGGGTTACTCCCTTGACTCCCAGCTTCTCCCCTCCCAAAAAAATTTCCCCACCAGTTGCTGTCCTGGCCTGTCAGGGTAAGCAGTTGGCACACCGGGACACTTTGTTTACTTAGATTTACCTCCTTGCCTGCGGACGCTTGAGGTAAACAAACCATCTCGGACCACCAGCGGCTTATCCTGATGGCCCAGGAGCCAAAGTTTGCTGACCCCTGAATTATAGGGTCAGCTTATGCTTATGAACAGGTTATAAAAATTTTCCATTTTTACTTATCCATCTTGGGGGGGAGGGGAGTGAGGGTGAGGTCAGCTTATAAATGAACCGGCTTATGATTAGGCATATACGGTAATTTAAGATCTACAGTAACAATTTGCTCACCGAGATATTGCAAAGTCGTACTTTTGTGCTGTTAGATTTAAAGTTAGCATTTAACTGCCATACGCTAAATCAGTTTAAAATATTGGTAGTTCATAGTATTACATTTTGTATTTGGTCTAGATTATAGGCATTAAGCCCTTACACTGGTACAACTAGGAAAATTGGCTGAAGAAAGCCATGGTCTTAGGTTTCACTGTTGCTATTAATTCATGAGGAATGTAGGTCTGTATGTAAGATTTCTGACAGACTGTCTTTCTTCTACTTTCAGATTTGAGATTACATCTATGGAAGAAGATTGTAATTTAACTCACATTTTTAAAAGAGAATTGAGTTTTAGATACCTTTCTTGCTCTGCATCTTGCTGTCTATCCAGAGGTGAAGTCTTGAGAACCCCTAATGGTTGGTATAATTTTAAAAAAGTCTGAGGTCACAATCTTTCTAAGTAACTTGTTGCATGAGGCAAGGGGAAGCTTTCTCTGTGGTAAAGTGTTATGTATAATATAGATGCTGTCTTGCAGCTAACTTGTCTCTGGTAAAACAACATTTCCTCTACATCTGAACTAAGAAGATGCCTGCACTGTGGGATGAGGTAGTAGGTTGTATAGTTTTAGGGTCATACCCACAACTGGGAGATAACTATACAATCTACTGTCTTTCCTAAAGCAGCAGAAAATCAGCAATGTCAGATCTTTCACTTTAAAAGCTTATTGTCCAGTTCTTCAGAACTTCTCTAGTTCAAAGGGCTTGTGGGCAGAGGAAATACATTTCTGTAGCATAGCAGAGTTGATATGTATGTCTGGATTTGTTTATCCCTGGAAAGTCAGATTCTTTACCATTCTGATTTTCAAGTTAGATTTTTTTAAAATTCTCTTTAGGGGAGCAGCACAGGTATGGAAGAATAGATTTCATCCTAACTATATATTGCATGGGGTCATTTAAAAACTAAAGTTGAATTTCTAATTAAGCAAAATACTAGTGGTGGTAATTGGTGCCATAAGATAAAACTTGTTCAGAGTTGAATAGCTGTGCAGCTAAGCTATATTTCCTGAAACTAGGACTGTTGCATACAAATTTCTCTAGCGGAGTGAGGTAGTAGATTGTATAGTTGTAGGGTAGTTATTTTACCCTGTTCAGGAGATAACTATACAATCTATTGCCTTCCCCGAGGAGTAAAAAAAATCTGCAGTTCCTTTGCATGCTAGTTGAGCATCCTGAGTTTACAGTTGGTGAGTGGACTTTCACTCAAGCCTGTAAAATATCAGGTGATTGAGTGGCTGGATTTACAGCACTAAATGCTAATGTGGCACACACTAACATTGCATTTGGCTACTATGCTGAATTTTTTTCAAAGGTGAGTGATATATTGCTGATTTTATATACAAATGGTCTTTCAAATGTGTTCTGTTGCATTACTAATCTTGACTTAAATTGGTCAGACAGCTACACAAGTTTTGAAATTCATGGCTGCCCTGACAGCATGTAGCCCAAGTAGCCAGTAAACTGATTTGGGAGAAAATGGCTTCAGCAGTACTATCTTGTGTAAACACTTCTGTCTCCCTCCACTTCTCCTCCCCCCCAATGCTAGGAAGGGAAATTAAGTTAGTGGTTCTCCACTTTTTCTTTGCACCTTACCAAATGGGAGGGTAATCCCAAACAGTGTAGGATGGCTATGATCCCCTGATGCCTGTTTTAAGCTTCCTGGGGGGGTTATGAGCCCCAGAAGGTTTTCTTTACCCAATAAATCTGAGCTGGTTACATTTTATTTATTTTTTTAAATGGCATAGGCTCAAACTTGTTTTCTCACTGCCTACAATGGTTAAACCCTGACTAGTTTATTGTGTGGGAGAAGGAGCTACCTGATAAGTGATAATTTTAGGGGCTGTTCTGACTGAACAAGTGGTAGTGGGTGAAACTGAAGCAGTATATCAGTCATCAAGGTTTTTAGTCTAGAGAACTTTTGTAACTGATCTACCATTCCTGACTTAAACAATATTACCAAATATAGTGAAATAAAGCTGAAGTTACCTGGAAGTATAAATGAATGTAAAATGTCACAGTATATGCATGTCTGAAAACAAAGTCAAAAGAAACTGCAATAAAAGTTAACAGCTGATTTCACAGTGCAGCTGCTAAATAGAAGAACTGCAGAAGAAACAGTGGGCTCCTAGGAAGAGGTAGTAGGTTGCATAGTTTTAGGGCAGGGATTTTGCTCACAAGGAGTTAACTATACAACCTGCTGCCTTTCTTAGGGCTTTATTATTACAACAGGACCATTTTGGCTCAGTCTAAACTTCTGCAGCTTTGATATGTGAAGAAAAAAACGGTATAAGCCAAACCAATATTTGATCATATTAAGTTTTAATGAAACTAAGTGTGGCAGCAACAGACTCATTCTGACAACCCATGTACAGTACTAACCTCAAGGTTGCAGCAGTATAGTGCTGCTTTTGAGGACAAACAGAACACACTATTTGCTCCTTTAGTAAAAGTGAGTGGTGTAATATGGTAAAATAGTCTCTCACCTTCCTTTCAAGATTAGGCTAAGATTTTCCAGCACTGAATAAGAGTTAAAGTATATTGTTAATTCAAGTGACTTTTAATGATCTTATTAGAAGTGAGGGATAGACTTCTTCTCTTAAAGTACTCCGTGCTTACAAAAGTCTCAAGTTCCTAATTACTCCTCTAGAAAAATAGGACATTTGAGTTGTCAACATCTAAAATAGTTAAGAGTTTTAAAGCTTGATTTTATTGATCATGGGTATGTGGGATATTTAAGGGAAGACTTGCAACCAGCTTAAAAACAAATAATGTTGAATGAATCACAAGCAGTGGAAGGAAGTATAGTGGTCCTTTCCTGTAGATGTGTGAAAGTACAAACTCTTCCGTGATTACACCATTGCAATGTAAATTTATAGCTGAGTTACGTACTTTTTGCAAGACTTCACACTGGTCTAAATCTTGCAGGTGTGGAAAAGATGTCCCCTGCTATGTTACTTAGGGGTAGTCAGTACTTAAGTCTGTACTTTTTAAAGAAGTTTACAGCATATCATCCATCTTCTGGATAAAACACCGTGCCAGGAGATGTTGCACTGAACCACACTATATTGACAGAACCAGGTTCAAGAATTGTTTCCTCCTTGTATTTTAATTTACGTATGTATTGAGTATTTTCCATGTGACTAATTGTACTTGGTTGCAGATCCAATAAATTTTAAACTGTTGTATGACTCTTTATTTAGGGTAAGAGCACCCAAATTTTCATAATGGAAAGTGAGGTTTACTTATTGAGGTACTGCATTCTAAAGGCTATAATATAAAGAGTGGTGGCATTACTGAAATTAGTGTGTTTTTAAAGGAATATTTTTATTTCATAATTGGACTAGATAAAGTATAGCTTAGGTATGACCTCTAGTAAACATTATGGTTGATATACTGAAGTTTATATTCGAGGGAGTGGTAGCATTTTTATGTCTACTACAGACTTACTTCACCCCCACAACTGATGGTTTTTGATTGAGGGGACCTAGCTTCATGGTGCTCATCTGCATCTCTTCTATTAAAATGGGAGTGTTCACAAAGCTTATCACTGCATATTGCTCCAAGGGAACAGCTCTTTGTTCATACTTAAAGGCTTTATGGTGAACTAGCAGTACCTTATGTTTTCCCTACATAGTGCCCTGTACTTAACAGAAGAAAGCTTTGCGAAACCACACCCAAGACTACAGCTAAAATGATGAAGGAGCATTAAATATTTCTCTGTTTACAGGTTAAAGGAATATGCTCTTAAAATACTTGTTTCATCACTTTCAGCCACCACACCTACGATGCTGATGTTGTCACATGCCACATCCGTAAAGCCCCTGTTGTGGAAAAATTGTGAACAGAACATGTTAAACTGAAAACCTTTAAAAGGAGATATGACTACAACTAGCTGCCTCTTAAGTTAGGATCTTTTACAATTTAAAGTTTAAACACATCCATTAAATCCATATTTTAATCTAGCAGCCAGAAGCACCTAAGCAGAAACCACCTGTGACCTAATTTGTCAAACAGTCCAGACAGGCACCCTAAACTTTCAGAGCTTGGGGGGAGGAGAGCCTGAACATTGCCTTTCCTGTATGTTGCATGAGCTCCTCCTGGAGTTTAAACGCCACTACACTGCAGCTTCTCAAACAGTCTTGATGCTGTTTGTGTCTAACTAGCAAAGGCCCAACTAACTGAAAAATAAAAGGTGTGACTTTTTTTTGAAGGATGGTTTACAGCAGAAATTGACTTTATAAAAAAGAATACTATTAAATTACAAGAACCACCTGCTCAGCTCACTAGAAATATTTTACATATAAAAAAGTTGACATGGCCTTCAGCCATTTATTTTCTACAGTTGTTTGAACAGTAGTGTAATCTATTCCCAAAAAGTTCACTTAAATTCCCCCCCCTCCCCCTCTTCTTGGAGGAGACAGCAGTAGTGACAATCTGCCCCCTGTCTATTGCCAATGTCACTTAAGCTTTCAATGTACTGAGTTATCCTCATCTTTTTGTAAGTGAAAGCAAGTTAATCATAACAAACAAAGGCTTGATTTATATCACAACTTGCTAGCTTTGTTTAGTTACCAACTGAGCTGTCTTACCTTGACCATCTGTGAGTTCCCCCTAGTAAATAATAGCGACTTGTCAGTGAAGAAATTTTGTTTACTTTTTTCCATGTGTACACACGGAGTGAGAGATCCAAAGATGATGTGACAACACGAAAAGCATCCTTCCAATTTAAAGTAAAATACTGTAGTTAGAGTACAGTAAACAATGCCTTTCTCTCTTCTCCCCCCCCCCCCCCCCCCAAAATAGAACTCAACAGTTGAGACACATACCACCCATATTGAAGTGATTGCATTGTTGTGATGCTGGAAAGCTTCTACTTGAGTCCCAAAAATTGAATATAGTTCCAAGTTTGCTCCACATCCTAAAAGAATTGTTTCTGTTCCATGTCCTTTCATGAGAATTTCTGTGGTCCACGTTCCTCCTGGTAGTGTGAAACTTGCAACCTGTTGAGCTTTTATAAAGAAAATACTTCAAAGATTTGATTTCAACTCTAAAATCACTTCTACCAAAATCTGCAGTAAAGAGTTATTTTTTTTTTATATTTATATTTATATATATATATATATATATATATATAAAAAGAAACCCCTTCTCTGGTGCCCAGACAGCTTGGGGCTGCTTACTAGGAGTATGATATCAATGTTCTTTTCCATGATCTACACTACTGGGGCGGGGGAGGAAGAGATTTCAAAGGTGGTGAGATTGACCTACAACATCCCATGATGAGTGTCTCTCTCTCCCTTTGTGATAGTGCTACATTGTTAGTCAGGAGAAGCAGGTGACAGGAGCTCTGTTTTTACATAAGGGGCTGCAGGCTGTGTGTTCTCCATGAGGGTCCCTTGACTTCTGAAATCACTTTCTGCCCACCAGGCATCATGTGTATATTTTAATTTAGCCTCTTATCCTTTTGCATTCTGCATAAGGACTACAAGGGGGAAAAAATCTCCCCTCTCTACCCCTTAAGTAACTTCTTGAGAATAAAGGGGGGCCTGCTACTATACCCTAATGGTCAACTGGCTCTGTTGGTGCAGCGGTAGTGATTGTTTCCAGAGTTGAGTACCTCTGGCCACTTACATGTCTGTGTGCCCTAGCTGAGCTTGACTGCTGGGACAGTACATGGAGAAATTGTTGGCTTCAGTAAGGACACAAGCTATGTTGTACAGCTTTACAGATCAATTTCAAACACCTCAAACTGCAACCGGAAGCTAGCATAGTTCCTGAAGAACAGCTGCAACAAATGCAACTGTTATTTTTTCGAGTCTCTTACAATAATAATGGATTTTACCCACATTAAAAAAAAAATCACCTTTGGGAGAGACCAACTATAGAAAATTCCATCCCTAAAATAAAATTTTTTGTATCCTGAACTATAATAGACACCTGTGATTACTACCAAAAAAAAAAACAAAACCACCAATAATAAAATTTCTCTGCTATGAAGTGTTAATAGGCAATAGTTACCAAAACATACCTAGAACTTCCATTTTATATTTAGACTTTTTGAGAGCTAGATCAAACACTGTGATGTTCCTTTGAACTGGCATGCGATCTTGGTGCACTACTGCTATTCTTGCTGGTGCTTTTGGTAACCAGCAGACTACAGCACAATTGTTGACAGGTAGCGAACTAGATACAGGTGATTCATCTGCCGGGTTAATCAAGCAATCTGTATAAAATATCTGGTGTAGGGAAAAACAAAGACAAATATACTATTCAGACTGCAGTGCCACTTATGAAAAAACCTTAGACTTCATAATTCTTGCTAAGGATTTTTTCCATTAAGAAAAGCTTTTTGCAAAATCAGACTTATTGAAGTTTATCTTTCAGTGGTTTATTGAAAGTCGTCACACTTAATGAAAAGTGAGAGGTTGATGCTTGTGAAAGTATGGCATAGGACTTGGCATAGCCGAGCCATAGAGCTTGTCTCCACTTAAGGAGGGATCGACGCACAGTGATCAAGCCACTTGGGGGGGGGGGGTCGATTTAGTGGGTCTAGTGAAGAGCTGCTAAATCGACTGCCGATTGCTCTCTTGTTGACTTGTATCCCACTGGAACAAGAAGCGTAAGGTAAGTCGACGAGAGTTTCTCCCGTCGACCCAGCCCAGTATAGACACCGCAATAAGTTGACCTAAGAGTTATTCACATAGTTGGAGTTGCATAACTTAGGTCCATTTAGCCCGGAAGTGTAGACCTGCCCATTCCTTATACAGCTCTGCCAGTGTATCTGAATGTTTAATGACAGCAGTCTCTGCTATTCCAGTCCACTTTCCTTTTGTCCAACAGGCAGCTGTGCTAAAATGTGCATGTAGAAAGGGTGTATGGGGTGTTGACTAGAAGGACGCTAGCAGAGTACTGCTGAAAGTGGCACTTTTTGCACAAAGAAAGATCACAAATGACTTGTGGCTTGGTTTATTATTTTGTGAGGTGTTTCTAGTAAACTTTTCAGTGTCCATTCTAAAACAATCTAACCTGTCAAGGGCGGTTGAAAATTTGTTGTTGCTCAAGATATCTAGTTTATGGTAGAATATCGCTTAAGCAAATATGAATCTAGGGTGAGTTCAAAGCTGGTTGGGAAACATTTTCTGCAAAAATGTATTTTTGGAAAAAAAATGTATCCTGAATTGGGACAAAAATGCCAAAACCTCAAATTTTCACAGAACAGAAATCCCACATTATTTTGTTTCAGAAAACAAAAAAAACCATGGTGTTTCTAAAATGAAATGTGTTCTCTAGGATCCCTGGCTGCCCATCTGGTAGGCTGCAGTGGAGATGGGACACCGGAAACCCTGACACCTGCTAATGAAAGTAATGATTGTCTCACTGCTGCCCATCACTGAATAGCAGTTGTGAAATTGACCAGACTCTGGTCAAGTTAAGCAAGTTTCACAGCTGCTATTTAGTGGTGGGCAGCAGTGAAACTGAAAAAGAATGGTCAGTAAGTCTGCATCTGCCAGATGCACCCTGGGTCTTCTGTAGCCTACCTGGCGAACTGACTAGGAGCATTGACTCACAAGCTCCTGTCGCAGCCAGTGCTCTCAGAAGTTGGGCAACGGAGGGAAGTAACTGGCCTGGAAGATATGGGGTCCTGAATCCAGGGAAGTCCGCATAGGCGAGCTAGCAGAAAACCAGGCAGGAGTCCAATGTAAATTTGTCAAAGTCTACCCCTTTCCAAAAAAACCATTCAGGTTTTGACAAATCAACAAATTCGGATGAAAAAAGTGTCTTGTTGGAATGTAGCTGAACCTAGCCGTTAGCAAGATTTCTCATTCTGTAAAGATGAGGAGCTTGATAATAACCACTAGGTTTATCAGATGCCCAACACTGAGAACAAGTTATTTGTTTACTCTTCCAGCAAAGTTTCTATGGTATTTTTATTTTTCTAATTTTCATATTAGTTATTAGCAGATATGGAAAATTGCTACATTGATGGCTCTACTTGCACCACAAAAATATAAAATGCAACGTTTTAGATATTCAAATTCAGCCTGTTGCATTACAAGCAGAGTGTTTCGTAACAGAGAAAGCTGCATTATAAATTAGGTGTACTGCCATTAAGACTTATGGAATAAAATACATTGGGCACTTCGTTCAGGAAGGGCAAATTCTTTAAGTTAATTAGGAAAATGTTCTAACAAAGGAAGAATAAACGTTTACCTACTTTGAGGTAGAGATTGTTCTATATAAATGCTGCTGAGTCCATTAGTCAGTCAGTAAGATATGCCAATAGATCAAGAGGAAGGTGAGAGACTATATTAAAATGTAGAGATCCTATATTTAAAGGCAGCTCCCAATTTTACGTAATACTGTACCTTTGGAGATGTATCTGCATTCTCAGTAGATCCAACAACTAGCCATTGCTCGTCTGGTGAACAAAGTAATAAATCAATGCTAGAGTTTTGAAATGCTGTAATACATGAAACCTGATTTAGATTAGGAACTTCTAGCGTATAGATAGCACCTCCTGCAGTGGCTGCCTACAATAAAGAAAAGATGAGTAAGAAAGAAACATGGTTACAACATCCGAGCTTCTGTAAAAAAGAATTTATATGAATCTGAAGGTTTAGTGCTCATGACATCAAGCATTTTTATCTTATTTGAATTTAAACTTTGAATGGTACTATCAGCACCACGCCTGAAGGCTAACGTGTATCTCACATCAAGATGCGCATAGCACAGAGTCTCCTACATAGTTCATTCAAAAGAAAAGGAAACTTCCTACTGTTGACTGAGCTTTTAAAAAAAAAAAAAAAATCTGAGTCTGTTTTTAGGGGTCATCACAGCTGCTCTCCTGATGCTCTTACAGCAGTTGGTATACAGGATGAACACAACCCTGTGGAGGTAGAACCACCTCATTTACAGTCTGATTTTCAACACTACTTATAATCAGACCTATGTATTGTGTATCAGGAGCAGCAGAAGCAAAAGGCAGTGGAGAGATATTTCCTAATGATTCAGCGTCTTTGATTCCAGTCCCTGAAGTGGGAATTTAATTCTCCACCAGTCCATCACGTGCTTCTGCAGTAGCACAATGCCACTATGCTGTAGTTTTGAACTACTATAATACACATTCAGTCTTTTTAACCCTATTCCCGGCAGTTATGACAAAAACAGGACTGTGCAGTACTCATCCCCTCGCTAGCAGCACTAATCCAGAGGGCTGAAACAGTCACTTCCCAAACAAGCCCCACAAAGACAACTATAGTTAAAGCCTTTTTCTATTCCTAGCCAAAATAAACACAAATTCTATTGTCCTGCTCTGGCATACTTCCACACCACACATGCCTGTACTTGCTCCATTGTAATAGCAAGGCAGAAGATGTACATTACAGCCATTTGTATAAACACTTAGTATGTGACATTTTCCTGTGTTCTAGATACTTTGTTCCAAAAAGATGTAGACAAACTCAAGGGAGTCCAAGGAAGAGAAACCAAAAATGATTAAAGGGCCTGGAGGAAAGATTAGAAGAACTAAATATAATGTGGGTAAGGAACAACTCGAAGGGGATCTGATAGTCTCCAAAGGGTATAAACACAAAGGGAGCATGACTGTGCTATCATCAACAGAAAAAGAATGAAGGTAGTAAAATAATAAATTTTAAGCTAAAAATCAGAACTCCAGGCTGTGAACGAAAGCCCTTGGAAGCGACACATCCACAATCTAGTGGTTAAAGTTCCATCCCTGCAGACTTTTGAAATGAGACTGGATGAAGCACTAGAACACAGATCATCTAGTGCAGAATAATTCATTCTTTACAAACTGTTCTGGGATGAAATCCTGGCCTCAGTGAAGTTAATTGAAATTTTGCCATTGATTCCAATGGGGCCAAGATTTCACCTGAAGTCTCTTTCAATACGTTTTATGCACCTTTAATTCCTATCTCCCAGTGCTTAAAATGCACCACATCAGAAGCGTATTCCTCATTATTTTAAACGAGCACATATCTAGGTGTAGCTCATCTTGTTAGATAAGTGGTCATTAATTTACAGTCACCATGGTTTACTTACAGTTAGGAAGGGCTTGTCGTTCACTGAGTAGGCAACCAAACTGGACGAGGATGATGATGTGGAGAATGCAGCAAGCTCTTCCCCACTTTCTCCATGCCAGACTTTGATGGTTCCACGGGTGTCTGTGCTGATTGCTAGTTTGTACTCTGGGACAGTAATAACCTTTACAAATGGCACTTCCTGGGAGGGACTTGACCATATCTGTGTACCCTGAACAAAAATATGCAGTTAGGGGCCAGCTTATGGGCATTTTAAATAGATTTAAATTGTTATCAATAATGCATCCCTTTCCCCCCATTGCTTGTTTTTGTATGTATATACCATTGAAGATATTACCTATTTCAACAACATTTTGCTTGGTATTTTCCAGTGTTTGTGTTGAAATAGTTTTCCTTTAACAAGATAGCCATTATTTTCTCCTTGTTGGAACTCTCCCCCCGTACTGGATTCTAATAATGACTCAGCTTACTCCATTGTATTTCAAAAATCCTAAAGTGCAGCCAAGAAGCTCTTTCCAAAGATGACATTTTAAATAATTGGATGTTTCCTTTACACCACAAATCTCACTTATTCTTCCCACACCCAGTGACACTGCAGACCACAGGACTGGAAAATTCCACTCCTTCACCCCCACTTGAGAGCAAGAATCTGCAATAGCTTTTAAATCTTCCTTCTCCCCTATTCTCTTTTACTGTCTCTACCATCTTTAGAATACCATCACAAACTGGTCTGCATTGAGAATTAATAGCACATTTTAGAGCCAAATGTACATGCAGGCAGACTACACAGCAACATTTGCTACCTTGCTATGCAAATTCATCTCAGTTTGGACCTACAATACAATACCCTTTGCTACTCAAGTCCTAGGTCTCTCCTGAGCAGGAACTGCCAATAGCATTTCAGTCTGCCAAAATGGATGGTGGTTTCTGAAGTGGTCTAATGATCACAAGAATTAAATTGAGACCAAGCACACTTCCACAAGTCATCTATTGCAAGATTTGATTCTAACGGCCCAGTTCATCCTTGGCATAATTCTGTTCAGGTCAGCTGATACAAGCCGAGTTGCACCTGCTTGCTCCCATGGGTCAAGTTCTGTCCTGTTGTAACTGACACACAAGTCCTGGACTGAACTCAACAGTGACAAAGTGTTGTAAATCAGTCAAAAGATGGGTGTGCATGTCAGATGATTGATGTTATTGGTCAGTGTCCATTGATTTACCATTTAATAGGCATGCAAAATGTAGGTGTGTAATACTGCAAAGGTTTGTAGGGGGGGAATGCTACCAATACCGGCACCAGCTAACTTAAAAGTTTGCCATATAATTGCACTCATTTCCCCAACCATGTTTTCAATGGTCCTGCTCTCATAATTGATCTTGAATGCTTTATGTTTGGCCAGTTAAATGACACTGGTTCCATTTAAGCTGTATTTTCTAACTGTATGTGATACTGTGCGGTCCTGGAGTATCTTAATATTACCATTTTAAATTTTGATTGCATTTAACAAGTCTCGTTTCTCTAAAAGTAATATTCCCCAATAGCTGTTTTCAGGGGCACCAACCTAAAGCCCAATAGTCAGTGACTACCTTAAAAAAAAAAAAAAAGTAGAAATCAATAAATATGGCACTTTAATCTTATTGCAAGATTGTCAGGCTGAACATTGTGTAGCGCCCACCCCCCAAGAACTCCCCAGAAAAAGCAGCAACAGCAAATACTTGACGCTCTTAGAAATTCTGATCTAAGATCTAATTCAAATTAATTGACCAAATGAAGCCAGTGGAGCTTTGATGCATGAAAAACCTTCACTGTAATAGGCCAGAATACTAGAAATATGAATTGCTTGCAAACTTTGCCAGATCTCTGTTCCTCTCAGATGTGGACAGAGAAGTCAGGGAAGAAGCAAAGTCTGATCTCATTAACATACCATGTTTTTTGTGCTGTGATTTGAATTACATATTGAACATTAGGGACCACAAGCCTGCATCTCTAGTCACAGTTTAAGGCCGGAAGGAACCACTAGATCATTGTCTAACCTCCTGTATATCACAGGCCGCTACCACCCTGGACCCACACACTAAACCCCACAACCAAAAATGAGACTAAAGGACTAGACTATTCTGTGCCACAGGCAGAGAATAGGAGGGCCCAAGCTGCATCAGTGCCCGAGGCCCCCACAATTGCAGGGAAATGTCAGACTCTCCTAAAAACAAAGTGTTTGCTCCCACAACTCCTATTGGGAGGGTGTTTGAGAACCTCTTTCCTCTGATGGTTAGAAGCCTTCTAAATTTCAGCCTGAATTTGTTCATGGATAGTTTACATTCATTTGTTCTTGTGCCAACATTGTCCTTTAGCTTAAATAGCTCTTTGCCCTCCCTGGTATTTACCCCTCTCCCACCTCCCCCAGCGTATTTATAGATAGCAATCTTATCCCCTCTCAGACTTTTGCTAGCCTAAATAAGCCAAGCTCTTCCAGTCTCCCATCATAAAATACACCCTCTATTCCCCGATCATCCTATAGCTCTTCTCTGCACCTGTTCCAATTTGAATAAATATTTCCTGAATGTGGGTGACCACAATTGTATCCAGTATTCCAAGTGAAATGTTACTAGTACTTTGTACAATGGCATTATTGTTTCTCGGTCTGAACTGGAAATGTCTCTCCTAATACATCCAAGGATCGCATTTGCCTTTTTCACAGCCACATTAAATTGATGACTCAGTTATTCTGTGCTTGACCCATACACCCAGGCCTCTCGCCTCCTCGGTCGCTTCCAATTGATGGACTCCACATGAGTACCTGGGGTGTTAATCTTTTGTGATCAAGACTGGCACTAGAGCTAAAAAGGGCTTTAAACTAGGAGATGAGGCTGGAAGAGGCTCATGAAGTCTCCAGTGTATTGAAGCCAGGGATGGAGCAGGAAAATCAGCTAAAGGAAGATATAGTAAGGGACAAGGGAACACCACAAGCTAGAAAACTGAGTGAGGTCTGAGGGAAACAATTGAAGTGCTTGTACACAAATGCAAGGAATCTGGGCAACAGAATGGAGGAACTGGTACTACTGGTGCAGGAGGTTAAACCAGATATTACAGGGATTACAGAAACATGGTGGAAAAACACTCATGACTAGAATACAGGTGTTGAAGGTTATGTACTGTTTAAGAGAGAGAAGAAAGGTAGTGGGGTAGCATGGTACATCGACAGCTGTACACTTAAAGAAGTGATAGTACAGACAAAATCTGTTTGGGTCAAAATCACTTTGGGGAAGGGTTGTAAAAGGAGGTTCTGCTGGGATAGTATTAGGGGTCTGCTATAGACCCCAAGAGTCAGACTCTGTTATGGATAGCATTCACTTCAGTGTTATTAGAGAAATACTTTCGGGAATTGCGTCATAATGGGAAACTTTAAACTTCCTTGATATAGATTATAGAATAAATATTACTAATACTGGTAGGGCCCAATTATTCCTAGATGTGATAGATGACAGCTTTCTTCATCAAATCATCACTGAAACAAGAGGTGATGCAACTTTAGACTTAAGCTTTACTTGGTAGTGACATCACAGAAGAGCAGGTCATAGGAAATAATCTTGGATTGAGTGATCACAATTTGATTCACTTTAAATTAAATGAAGGAAAATCCAAACCATGTTATTAACTCTTTTTTTATTTCCGAAGGGCAGACTTTGGGAAAGTAAGACATTTAGTTAAAGGACTCGAGGACTTAAATACGAAAGAGGCTTGGAATTTCTTCAAATCAACTATACAAAAACAATCTGAAATTTGCGAAACTTGTAGGGAAAGGCTCCAGACCCACCTAGATGAATAGCCACCTCAAAAAAGGTTAATAGGAGGAAGCAGAGAGCTTATAGGGAATGGAAAAAGTTGCTGGTCAGCAAACAAAGCTATACTGTAGAAGATAGAAAAAAAATGTAGGAATAAAGTGAGAATTGCTAAAACTCAAGCTGAATTAGCGCTTGCCAAGGAAATGAAATTAAATAATAGGAGGGTTTTTTTATATAAATAAAAAGGAAGGATGAGGTTGGGCCATTATGCAGTGTGGGTGGGAAAGAGATTCAAGATCTAGGTATGGCCCAAAAAACTAAAACTAGTGAGTGTTCTCTTCTATACATTAAAAAATGCCACCATTTCCCTCTGCATAACTTTAGAGAGATGACACTAGGAACAAAAACTGGGTTATCTGTAGTCCCCCTTCCTTATTTACATACTAGCCATCCTATGGCAGCTGTATTTTTGGAACAGTTCACTCAGTTTGAATTAAAAAGCATGGGCAATGTTTGACCTGTATTTTAAATATTGCCTTCTGATGATTTAGAGCTATTCTAGAACAACAAATCATATAAGAGGAGTAGGATACATAATTGTTTTTTTAATGATGGTATAAATATTCTTGATTGTGACACTGGACTTGTAAAGAGTGTGCATCCCACCTCTTGGACCTGCCATGCTCGGATAGTGCCATCAGTAGACGCAGTGCAAACCACAGACCTCAGCTTTCCACCACCAAACACGTGCTCGTTGTCTGAGAGATAAGCCATACCAACTATTTTACCTACAATAATAAAATACAACAAAAATATCAGTATGACCATCAACTGATTTCATGCTCACCAGGAACAGTAAGGCCCCTATCAGCAAAGCATTAAATAGGAGACTAATGGCATTAAGCAGAATGGGGATACAAATCTGGGGAGGTCTGGATTGCTTCCTGGCACGTTATCATTCTGCACTTTCAAACACGGCCTAGTAGTTTATTCCTAATAGAGTAACGGTAGATACAGTGTTCCATTTTTCATGAGTGTGATGACTCACACTTATTAGTGTAGCCCATGCTATTATCCAAAACATGTTCAGTCAAAATAAAAAAAACTTTTCATGCAAAAACAAAAAAGTGTCTGCAGGAGAGAAAATAAATCACAAATTATCCCCTATACCGACAAAGTGATTAAACAACATTAATTTCAGCAAATAACTCTTCAGCATAATACCTGGGTAGCAATAAAAATTGCCTTAGTTAAAGCTGTAAACCCTTTGCTTGACAATCTTACTGTCTGAATGAAAATATGATGTATTCCAAAACTTGCATTCTAGTTGGTTTTACAATATGATGCATGAACATAGCCTTCATGGCTTGAGTTAGTGCAATTTACCCTTTAATTTCTTGCTATCTGAAGGGAATATAGTAAATTAGAGTATACTTTTATTTATGTGTCCATAAATCCAGAGTCCAGTCTTAAATTTTTATGTGTGGGTGCTATTGAATTTGGACTTTACTGAAGGTGACATGCAACTCAGAGGATATAGGACCAGATTTTTAAAGGTATATGTGTGTCTAAAGATAGGCACCTAAGTCCCTTTAAAAATCTGGCCATAGTTATCAGTGAAGAGAGAATTTATTTAACCAGCATGGAATAACAGATGAGATTTTTATTTAGTTTTATATCACCATCTTTGAAGAAGACATTTTCTGCAAAATGTTATAGGATGAAGCTAATAATTTTAAAAACGTTCAGGGCCCTGTTCTCTTGAGAATGTACACACCCCATCATACCATAAGGCCAATTTTCCAAGGTTCTTCAACTGAATCTGAAGATTTTCCTCATGGTTTTGTACCAGTAAAGCTTTCCAGCTTTTGGATTTGTGGGATATGCATGTAAAAAAATGCATGTTCAAATTGGGAACAACAATTTTGCAGGCTGCTGAAGTCTTTATTGCTAATGTATAAAGCATGTGTCTGCCTAGATCCCATGAGGGGTTGGATCCATTTGTACAAAACACCTAACAACAACAGAAGTAACCATTCTTTTTATCATTTTCTCACATACCTTTATGCCCTCTCATGGACCGACATATATAATCAGCTGATGGCCGACCTGATGCCATTTCATGCTCAAGTTTGGAGCGGTGGAGATAGTACTGTTTCCATGTCTGCATACCTGGAGTCAGGTTGGAAATATTGCAAAAGGTCCAATGATCTAGGCACATCCTTCTATGAAACAAAGGTGACACTATTCAGTTAAAAGTAGGGGATGGTCATTCTGCAACACTTTTCTTAACTATTCACATTTGGTGGATGTCGCTAGGTACATCCAAAGATCTGTCATGGATAAAAGCATGATTTTGTTTTTTTACTTGGGGAATTTAAGATTCAGTAGAGAAAGGGAATTCCTCCCCAGTCACAAAACAAGACACTGCAGTCACCATTGTGAAATATGAAGAGATGGAAATAAGGAAACGCCATCATGGAATGAGAGTACAAACATCGATTTGTCTGCCTCCACTATTTTGCTCACTGCAACATGCTGAAAATGTTTTAAAAAAATAAATAAAAAAAAGCCCGGTTGCATATAATGCATTGAAGAAAGCATTCTAGAACTGTTTGAGTGAAAGTGTAACTTCCTGAAGTACAGACAGTCAGTGAGAGACTTACAGCAATCTCCAGAGTGAGTGTGATTCAGCAGCACTTGAGTCAGTGTGTGCTTTTCCACTGACTTTCCTGGGTCTGATCTTCTGCCTAATAACCACAATTTCTACTCCCCATAAAGGCACTTGTGAAAAGATGTGACTCAAAACCAGTTTTCCCTCTAAGATATCACCCACCTCTACAAGGGACTGCCTGACCTTTGGAAAATTTGACTTACAAAAACAAGGTTTGTAAGCTCAAAATATGGTCACCTAAAATTAAAATGTCCCTGTGATAGTAAACACCCACCCACCAGTGCTCCCAACCAGTAGTGGTAAACTCTCCCGGAACCTGAACTGATCTGTTCTTTCCTAGTCCTGGAATTTATTCATTTTCTTTTAAATTATTTAAAAATAAATGTGCTAATGAAAGGTGCCAGCCTGCAGACCAAAGGCCTGTATTTGTCTGCTGAATAGATACAGCCCACTTGGTGGCAGCAGAAGCTTCCCCACTAGGGTGACCAGATGTCCTGATATTATAGGAGACAGTCCTGATATTCGGGGCTTTTTCTTATATAGGTGCCTATTACCCCCCATCCCTGTCTCAATTTTTCACACTTGCTATCTAGTCACCCTGTTCCCCACCCTTCCCTGTCAATGTACTTCACTTAGAAGGAAAACCTCTATAAGAGTTAGAAGATAGCAGTGAGGCCATAGGCTAGACTGAGGCTGTGCTAACAAGGATGCCAATTCAGTTATAAGTTAACTGCATTGCTCCTGGGCTAACAGATGGATCTGCCTTATTCATTACTGTATTTTTAAAAGATTATCCAGAGGGGTGCCCAGAGCACTGGAGGGGTGCCCTTAATGCAGAGCAGTAACAATCTAAGTTATTAAAATAAGGTGGTATTTGTATGATGCAGCTATAGTTTCATATCAGCCAAAGGGAATGGATTCCAAACACTATGGTGGGGTGAAAAACAGTGTGCGCACACATATACATGCCTTACAATCAACCCTGTGAGCCCTTTGTCCACCATGTTGTATGCTCTTCGACTTTATGTAGTTAAAATTCCTGGATCACAAGTATTTCCAGGTTCTCATTCTGTGGATGCCCCAAGAGAGACTGGGTTATCTCAGTCCCCATCAGAGTCAGTGGGGTGAGGACACCCAGGTTGATGTTCAGCACCTTGCAGGACTGGTCTTGGAACTTGGTAGCCGAGAAGCCCCTCAAAGAGCCCGCCCACAGGAACACCAATGACTACCCTCTTAAGAAAGGAGGTGCCAAAATGGGAACCAAGGGCTACTAAAAAAGGCAAAGCAAAAGTACCGGGCAAGTGGCTGTAAAAGAATGCCAGTGAGGGACACTGAGCAGGGAACCCCAGAGAGTGCCCACTCTACCCAAAAAAGATCACCTTGCAGCTTGTCAACTATTACAATACCTAGCCTGGACTCCCTGAAACACTGAAAGGGGCACTCACCTCCATAGGGAAGTTGTGCCTGCGGCTTCGTTCCATGCCTATTACAAAGGGAAGGGAGAAAGACGAGACATTTTAGAATGAAGGAAGCTGCGTTTCAAACTTTTTCAGTGTTACTGTAACTGACAGAAAAGAGAAGATAACGTCAGTCAATGGAAAGGGAAGGGGACCAGGAAATCTTTCTAGGTCTGTGCTGCACCCCAATTTCTTTGAATCATCACTCTTTTTAAGTTTACATTTTGTATGAATGTTTAGCACAACACAGTAAGGGGGAATTTTCAAATCAATTAATTGGTTATAGTTTTACATTGATTTTTATAGGAATTATGCGGTTAAAATCATGAACAACGTTTTGTAAATTTGGACATATGTACAAGAACTGGCCTAGCAAGCTTTTTAGTTAAGTAGTTCAGGCTCGATCCCAAAATTTGAAAATAATCATTGTGACATGAAAGATCAATAAACATCTAAGCTTAGAACGCCCAACTAACTTGCTACTAGCGGAAATAACATCAAATGGAGAGTAAAAACTCATTTTTACAAGATCCATTAAGCTGAATGTATGTGATCAGATATATATAGTGTATAGCTCTTAAAGGATTGTTAACAATTCAATCAGTTTATACCACCCCCTGCACATTTAGTGTAAGATATTAAAGTCATACAGAACACAGTAATATGGCGTATACTACTGATTCAGAAATGTGCTAGATAACTATTCAAGATAAGCTATATAACTATTTAAAGACAGCCATCCTGCACCATCGAGGTACTTAAGGTGCTGAGTCCAGTAGCACAGTAAAAGCAATCTAAAACAGAAAGGCAGGTTAATATTGTAACATTAAAATGGGTTATTGCCACCTGCAGATGAAAAGAACAGTTTGAGGAGCTATGACACAAGGACAAAAATAGAGGAACAAAGATTATAAATATGGGGCCAATCGTGGCCATAATAAACACATGCCTCTGGGGAAAAACCAAACCAGCTCACCCACCCTTAAGTATTCCACACCCTGGGGCCAACCAAAGCAAAGTCTTGCTCTCCTGTCAACCTAAAACATGGTAACTGGATTCTTAAAAGATGTGTGACATCTCAACATAGGTACCTGTCAGGTTCCTCCAGGAGGCCTCAAATATATAAAAGAAAGTGCCAATTTGATATATCAGGTTTAAAATGTATGCAGGATGGGTCTAATGCGATCCTGGCTGCTCATACCAGTGAGCATATACATGGCTGCACTCTGAACACACTGCAAGTGACAAATTCATTCGGAAAGAGCATTTCCCAACAGCAGGATGGACTGCACACTGCAGCTGGATTCTTGACAGCAGAGAAGTTGAAATGTCAAGCTGATGTTTTTCATTGTTTTTCTCTCCCCCTACCACCAGTTCCCTCTTGGATGGGTTCACGCAAGACTTTGTACTCGGTGCCTGTTCTGAACTGGCTCAAATAAAATAATCTCCTGAACTTTGCTTCAGTTGTTTGCCAACAAACTGCCATTTGTGTAAAAGCAGCTCTAAGAAATTGTTTGCAAAATAAGCACTGCTTTATAATAATAAGTAATGCTACTAATATTTTGCATTTTATAGAATCTTCCAGCCAGAGATCTTAAAGTGCTTTACAAATATTAATGAATTTAGCCTCACTACTCTCTGGTGACGTAGGAAAGTCTGAGTTCCATATAACAATTGGGGAACTCAGTGCACTGTTAAGCAATTTACTGAAAGTTACACAGGAGTTTTATGCAGAGCAAGGCAAACAGCCCAAATTGTCTGGCTTCCAGTGCTGTCCTTTACCTAGTAGGTATTGCTTCCTCTCTATTCCAGTGGAGATAATCAGTCTTTTGGTTACAGTTATCACTGATAAGCCATTACTGCAGATCACATGGGATGGGCAAAGCTTTGCGTCAAGTATGAAATAAGACAGACTAGCTTTCCCACCTGGTCCAGCTGCTTTGAGTCATTCTGGAGAATCCAAAGGGGACCCCCAAGTGGCATACAGCTGCTGTAGTGACTCTACACCCAATCCCAAACTTGGTCCACGCTCTGCTCACTAGCCAGATCATGTGACATTTTGTGTCACTAAGGCCTGGTCTACACTACGACTTTAATTCGGATTTAGCTGCGTTAATCCGAATTAATCCTTAACCCGTCCATACAACGGAGCCAGTTACTTCGAATTAAAGGGCACTTAAAATCGATTTCTGTACTCCACCCCGACGAACGGAGTAGCACCAAAATCGATTTTGTTAATTCGAATTAGGGGTAGTGTGGCCGCACACCACCGAATTAATGTGGTTAAAATTAATGGGGTAGTGTGGCCGCACACCACCGAATTAATGTGGTTAAAAAACGAATTAATGTGCTTAGTGTGGCCGCGCACAATCGAATTTATACAATCTGTTTCCCAAATTCGAATTATCTAAATTCGAATTAATCTCGTAGTGTAGACGTACCCTAAGAACGAGTTCCTATTTCCCCCTTCAAGGTCTGCTCATGCCCACACAGCAGGAGCAGGCACGGGGCTAGGCAGGAGCCTATGTGCTTCCATTGCAGAAACGGGATGGTGTTTGCTAGGAGAGGTTAGGTCCTGCAGCAGCCTCTGTCACTGCCCTCCATTTTTTATCCTCCCCTGCCTCATTCTCTGTCCTGACCCTCCCACCCCTCTGGCCACAGCTGCCTCCCCTATGGTGGCTTGGATGCAGCACAGGGAATACGGGGAGTTTGGATGCAATAGCATGCTATACACAATTCTGCCATAGCAGCCAGGCAGAGACTAGAGAAGAGAATACCTGCAGGCTGGTGGGTGTGTGATCTCTCAGAGGGGCTGGGGCTGCACCGCTGCAGCCCTGAACATGGATCACAGTGGGGTGATGATGGGGGTGAAAGAAAAGGATCAAGGGAGAGGCTCATTACCTGTGGTCACGAAGGGTGGGAAGGGAACACTTATGTGCAGTCCTGATGGTTGTCTCCAGACCTGTGTGTGCTCCTTCAGCCCACAGGTGCTGGAACTGGGGGTGTAGGGGGTGCTGCTGCACCCCCTGGCTTGAAGTGATTTCCATTATATACAGGGTTACTCCCCCCCTGCTCCAGCCTGCTGTCAATTTCACAGCTCAGACAGCTGGTGCCACTGGCCGCTCTGCGGGAGTTTCTAAACGTCAAGGCAAAATAAACACCCTCAGGGCCACACGGGTACAGCAGGCTCCCCCTACTGCACAGCGGGGTGTGCTCAGGGGCAGTGGCAGGGAACTCCCTTCGGGGGGGACAGGAACCAGTGTTATTTTGGTGGGGAAAGGCACCCGCGGGTGTGGCGAGAAGCGCTAAGGCAGCTCTGCTGGGACACAGGGAGCTCTAGGAAATAGGCTTGCAAAGGCCCGTTCATTCCTCCAGCGCCAGGGCACGCCCAGCCTGGTGCAGTGTGTCTGGGGAAAGGGAGAAGCCCCCAGCCCAGGGGCCCGGGCTGTGCAGCGGTCCCCAAGGAGGCCCCCAGAGCTGGGCAGAGCAGACGCCACCCGTGTCCTGCCAACGGGGTGCGACCGACACGAGCCCGCATCTCCCTGCGCTACACGCGCGGCTGCGGGCGCTGGAGCAGAGCCGAGGCGCCCCCCGTGCCCCAGGGGCGGTCAGCCCCAGCCGGGTACCTGGTTCACCCGCGCGGCGCGGAGCAGATCCGGTGCCTCCAGGTAGGAGAAGACATGGACGAGGCAGTCTAGCGTGAGCAGCTCGCCGCTCATCTCCAGCCCTCACCCGGCCGGGGTCTCGCGTCTTTCCGCTTCCGGACCAAGTTTCCTGCTTCAGCTACAGCGGCTGCTCAGAGGCGGAGCTAGCGCGCCTGGCAATCAGCTGGCTGCGCTGATTACACCGGCACAGCGCGCCTGGCCCCTGCCGGCCAGGATACTTCATTGGCACGGCCAGCTCCTTGCACAAGGGCTGCTAAAGTGTAACAAAGCGCTCCGGTAGCGGGGACAATCTGCTCAGGACAGGACTAAATACTTTGTTTGAAGCTTGTCCTCTGTGCCCGTTTGTAATCCTCTTTCTAAGCCCCCAGCCCCCTTCTCTCCTTTACTCCCTTCAACCTGTGTCAAGGCCCCATCCTCTCACCCCTACCTGTCAGGGCAGATTGGATCACCCAGTGTTGAGATGCAGCTACTTCTACAGTGGCACATGACAGCTTGACTATCATGGAATGACATCACATCTCTACTTAGGGCAGGCAGTGAAGGTGAACGCTTGATACGGCTGAAATGGCAGCGGGACTATCTATAGCCAGAATGCAGTAATGTGAGTTGAAATAGGACAAAGAGATTAAAGACATCCTCGCCCTCTTACTGAAAGTGCCATGGAACAATTAATGACCATCCGTGGTCATGATCTTGGTGTTGTCTTATCTAAAAGCACCAGAGAAGGATTCTTTCTTCTAGAGGAAGGACCATGACATATGATGGGAGCTGAGCAAGAAGAGTTGGGGTAGCTAGTGGAAGGGTCTTTATGGTGGGGGAAGGTTAAAAGCCTGGGGGCAAAGTTTCTATGGGTTTAGGCTGTAATTTTGCCTTAATGCTTTTCTACAAGTTTTACTGTGATCTACAGCTAGACTGAGTGAAAGAAGAAAGTGAACATGATGGAAACCTGGAGAAAGTTAGGTAAGTAGTTAAGTGTAAGAGCCCATTGCTTAGGACACACACACACACACACACACGGTAGGGAGGGGAGTATTGGTTTGATGGGGGGGGGGGGAATACTTTTTGCTGTAGGATCATGTCTTTAAAACTGGTGAAATAAGTTTTAATGTGATTTTAGCTGAAATTAATTCATACCTGGACAAAGTAGAGAGTAAAGGGCAGTCTGCTTTTGACAGAATAAGGACTATATTAAATGAGGACTATTAGATGTGACTAGAAGAATCCTCTATATAATATAACAAGGCCATTTACTGAAACTTCCCATAGAAGACAAAGAAAGAGAGAGACCTTATCATTTATGCATTCATTAGCTACAGGATTTTGGGGGACTTGGGTTTTTGTCTGTTTTTTTAAGAAGAAAGCAGCTTAAAGAGGTCTCAGGTTCAAGAAAGGGTAAAGAATTAAGATAAAGCAGGTCAGAAAGCAGCAGAAACAGGACTCTGGCAGAGGGAGAAAAAAATCAGAAGAAGAGAAACTGTGAAAGTGAAGATGGGACGTGAAGGAAAAGCTGCAGCCCGATGGCCCAGCAAAATTAGATTGTACTTAACTACACAGGTAAAAGCAAAGTGAAAAAACCTAGTCTAGGAAACACAAATTCCTCCCGAAGTCTAGTTAGCAAGAGCTGAGAACTGGTAAATCAGCCCTTTAGAGAGGTAGAATTACCCTTTTGGTGGAGAAGAAAACATCTCTGCACCCCAAGAGGATTATTCGGACACCTTATTGTTGTCCATGGATTCCTGCTGGTTCCAATGACCAAATCCAACTGTGGAATTGTCTGAAAATACATGAGGACCAGAACAAACCATGAAGAGAGACTGAACATACATCGAGAAGGAGAAGAGAAGCAGATAGCCCTGTGTCTCCAGCCACCTGCCATACGTCTTCTGCCAGTTACACACACCTGCAAAGGGTAAGTTTAACCAGCACAAAACAGATTCACATATAAGGACCTAGCTGGAATAAAACTTCTAAATTTAATGTCCAGCTGAGACTTCTTTGCTAAAACACAGGTTCTAAACTTGTTCTTTTAACCTCTGCAGTTTGCAGGAGAGAAAATAAACCACACAAGTTATCTCTTTTCAGCAGAAGGGTTGATAGCTGCAATAAATATTTAAATAACTTAGATTTTCATGATACATGAGTAATACAATACCTTTGCTGGTTAGTTTTGTTAACTCTGTGCTTCCTGTTATTTGAACAAAAATATATTGTTTCCCATACATAACATAGTCTGGTGGATTTTGTAATGTCATGTATGAAAAGGGTAACAAAGCTCATTGAATTCTTCTAATTTACTATATGGGTGGAGTTCAGAGTTCTCTGTCTTGGGTTATCAGATGGGAAAACTAATCACTTAAACTTTCAAAAGGCTGGTTTTCTTAAAGTCTACAGCTTGTCTGCATGGCAAGTTACTGTGCTACAAGCCAGGGTGTGAATCTACAGTGCAGCAATCTTACTGCGTTGTAGCACGGTCCACACGGGACGTGACTGCAGGGCAAGCGGGTGAACTGTAGAGTCACACCCTAGCTTGGAGCACAGTAACTTGACATCTAGGCAAGCCCGAAGGCTTTGTCAGTTTCCTAAGTGAGCAGAATTGCTTCCTTGACTGAGTCACCAAGTTTCTGCTGACTCTTTATCCTATGAAGAAACATCCATTGTACACTCTACAAAACTATATTGCAGTATGTTGTATTTGCCAACATGCAGAACTTGCCATCCAAAGATAACGCGCATTACACTGCAGAAGAGAGATGGCGCAGAGTGAGTCAGAGACTGCAACAAAACCCCAGGGCTCCTGTCTTGCAATCCTGTGTCCTACCTGCTGGAAGCACTGCCTCCCCAATAGGCACTTTCAAACTGGTTTTAAGCCCCATTCAGATTGTATTTTTTCATATACTGTAAAACTTGACTCAATTTGTGCCAGAAACTTTCAGGTTTTGGGTTTTGTTTTCCATCTGTGAATTATGTTTCCTTAAAGAACCACAGCCCTCTTGAAGTACCTTAGAAATGCACCATAAGCACTAAGCCAATGTTAGACAGTAATTAATGAGGCAAATTACATGTCAGGATGTGCTGGTGATAACTGTTTTCCACTGAGGACAGAAGCAGTGAAATTTTCCAGCACAACAACAGAAGCACTATTTCCCCCACCTCCCAGCAAGACAAAAAATGAACTCCACCTCACACAAATCATAGAATCATAGAAGATTAGGGTTGGAAGAGACCTCAGGAGGTCATCTAGTCCAACCCCCTGCTCAAAGCAGGATACTCTACTGCAGACCTGCAAATATTCACCGATCTGAGAATATCCCACTAGCAACACTTGGAATGACATACGTGCTGCAGTTAGGTAGGCCAACCTGGGGAAGTCTGACCTTTAACCCACTCACTCTTTTTTTTGTTTGCATGCCCAAGAGGAAATCACATGCATGGCACAAGCCTGACCCAGAAATATTGCAGGGAGGAGGATATTTTGTGCGAATAAGGAAGGGCAGGGACTGCAAGATGAATCACCGAAACAATAATTATCCTGAGGAAAAACCTTGGAGGGTGGATTAACTGTGATAACTGCCCTTTCAAGGTAACAACGTGAACTGTCAACTCTCCTGAACTGTTAGAAACACTTTAGCACAAAAAGAGAAAGAGAAAAAAAAATTGAAAGAGCATAAAAAGTGATCTGGCCAAAGAGGCACCCTTCAATTCCAAACTGATAGGATTGAAGCTTGTAATTGTTACACACTATGCAACAGTAACTGCTTCCAAAACTATTTTTAGCACACCACACATATAGTGAAAATAAATAAAAAGACAGAGTTGCCATAAAGCCAGGAAATAAACTTTTGAAACTATTTAGCTTTTGGCTAAGCAAGGCAATTGAGCTACAGCATTCCTGAGTGTGCATGATAGTCTCTGATAAGGTGAACTCCAAACCATCATTTTCTCTTCCAACTCCAAGCTGTAAAGTAACAATCAGCACTTTGAAAGTCCACCACACTTGAATCTTAAGGCCCTATGTTCACTACAGGGCCAGCAGTGGTTTTATAATTAGTTTACTATCTGACCTGGTTAGAACAAGTGTGGCTGAGTCATGTTCACACATCAGCATTTTTTGCTCCACAACACAATCGTGTGTGTGTCTGCATCTACCCTCCGGCTAAGCATGTTTGTATCAGTGCAGGCTGGGGAAATCTGGGCAGTGGCCCCATAGTGCTTCAGCAGGAGCTAGAGTGTCCAGGGGGCATGCACACAGAATAGGACCAGCAGCAAGTCTGGCAACGCACCCAGAGATGTCCTCCTGCCCAGAGCTAGAAGGAAGGAGCAGCAGCCAGACTGGTTACTCAGCTATGTTTGTTTACGGGCTTCTCTCTAAAATACAAAAAAACAAACAAAAACAAGAGGGCCAGGCCACCAACAAGGCTGATTGGTAAGCATTGTTACCAATCAAGCATTAGCCACATTGTGTGGGCAGACAAGTCATGGGCCTGACTCCGCTCCCACTGAAGACAATAGCAAAACTTCCATTGATGGATCAAGCTCCCCGTTTACACCCTCCAGGTCACTGTGGTCTTAGCTACAACAGGGGAATTTTAGCAAAATATTCCCAGCCTTGCTGCTATCGGTGGGAGCCCTAATGTTCACAGGTGCCAGCTTCCTCCAGGCCCTGGGGGTGCTCAACCCCTGCTCCACCCCGACCCCCCTCTTCACACCCAGTTCCGCCCTCTCCCCCAAGTGCACCCCCATCCCCGTTCCTCCCCCTGCCCCTCCCAGCACCTCCTGCACACCGCAGAACACCAGATCGTCGTGGCTAGGGTGACCAGACAGCATGTGTGAAAAATTGGGATGGGATGGGGGGTAATAGGTGCTTATATAAGACAACCCCGAATATCAGGACTGTCCCTATAAAATTGGGACATCTGGTCACGCTAATCACTGTGGGTGGGAGGCATTGGGAGGGAGGGGGAGGAGTTGATCGATGGGGCCACCAGCAGACGGGAGGCCCTGGAGGGGAGTGGGGGAGCTTACTGCCAGTGCATCTTCCAGCCCCGGAGCACCCATGGAGTCGACACCTA